AAAATAAAAGTTTTGAATACTAAAAAAAGGTGAACGGCTTGCTCGGTGCCCAATAATGAACAATAATTTGAAATAATTCAATTTTGTGTCAGGTTGGCCTCCACTAGGCCCCCCATAACAAAACTCTGGCTACGCCCATAGCGTCAACTATCGGTCCAAGGTCACACGCACCGGCGCCCACTGGTACGAAAGTTGAAATCCGTATCCATATCCGCGGATCTAGACTCTAATGATCCGTATCCGTATCCGTATCCGCGGATATACATTTTTAACGATCCGGCACATCACTACTTGGCGGTAACCCCGGGGTTTCCGGCATGCTGATCTCCCCAGCGACATACCGGACAATCTGCGAAGATACGGTATATGGTTTGTTTTAAGTTGCCTATAATAATAAATCGAATCCACAATGGACGAATTGAGAACTGTGAAATGTCGAATCTACGAATTTTTAAAATTACGAGAGTTCGACAGAATTCCAACTCGGATCCATTACTTTAGTAAGAGAATTGTTGTGTAGAAACAGTTTTTAAGTGAAAAAATTTAAGTTATTCATAAACGAGATGATTCTTTGCAGTTATTAGTTACCCTTTATTAAAATGGATTCTGTTTGCCGATCAAAAATGTCATTTAATTATAAAATATACATTTTTAAACGATAAATTTAAAATTGTTTTACACAATTATCCTAATTCTGTGTTATTAAACTATGTGTATATTAAACAGATAATGTCTTATGAACTATATACAACTAATAAGTTTATATAAATAAAAAGTATGATTAATTTCTTAAACAGAGTACATAGCTGAAGTGTATTGAAGTGAATTAAACAATGTTTTCTCAGAAAGTTGAAATTCAATTTCATAGAATATTAAATAAAAACATTTTATGATGTATTTGTTGATTAATTTATAGATAAACCTAAAATAACCAAAACATCACACGATGTGTTGTTTTGATTATGTGTAAGAATAAAGATTTTAAAATCGGAAATAATTTTAAACTCAAAAATATCTCATTTATTTGTATATTTATATATATATAAAACAAAATTCAAATAGTTCAATAAATTATTATCATTACTACAAAGGACAAAATTGCGTTATTATTTTCAAAATTAATTAATTATCGATATGTTCAAAAAGTTTCAGGATCTATATATATTTAAAAAAATAACAGTGAAAAATGCCACACAGCTTATTGGAACCAAAGCTGTGTGGTTCCAATAACATCTATGGCATATAATCTACATTCTGCCAATCATACAAGTCTACTCTGCATTCCAGCAAATCGGAAGTTAACCTTTATTTGTTTCTCGTTTCGAAGATTTAGAGAGCTTAGGCCTAGAGTACATTTTTACTCGAAAGTTTGTCATAATTCGTATATATTTTTAGAGTAGTTGCATATTTATTACATACTTCCTTAATCGTGTTTGAGACAAAAACGATTTTTAATTCTGACGATAATAATGGCGGCGATCCAGTTTCGTTACGGGAGGTTCTATTTTACTTTTTAAAATTTACTTTCTTATGTTTTAATTAAAGTAATTTTTGAAATTAAAATTGCCACATTATATAAATCTTTACTCCGAGTCTCGTGCAAAGTCAACATGCTTTATAGGCCAATACATAGGACTGTCCATAAATTACGTAACGCAGATACGGGTGTTTACAGAAATGTTACGTAATGTTAAGATCTCAATCTTTGGGTAACAGAATGATTCATCTTTGTTTCCGAAGAGTCATATAGTAAACCTGCTGTTTATGATAATCTTTTATACAGTACCTAATTAATTAACAAAATAACGTAACGTATTGTACTCCATGCTGTGTATTACTCCTTAGTACAATTAAGGAGATCGATCTAGGATAGCCTATGCGTCAGGTAATTTTAGTGGTAACTATGTGCGACGCGTTAAAGACTGTTACAGGGTATGGAATGGTAGTTGAAAATATAAAAATAGCATTACGTAACTTATAGATGATCCCTTATCGTGATTTTTGTAGATTCCTTATAATTATTTAACTGTAACGATAATAATACAGTCCATACTGAAACATAAAAGGAATTTAAATTCAGACTATATCATTTATAAGTTAGCGACACACGGCCCGTGTCAACTAATATAATAAAAAATAAAAACGCGTTAGGATATAAAGAAATTTATTTAATATTTTTCAAACTAATTCTGAACGAGATACCTTCGCCAATGATTTCGTCAATTCAGAAAACATTTAGCAAAATCAGCTTCTTTGGAACTGTCCATAATTTATTTAACCAAGATATGGATGGTGTGATGTAGGTAATTGTTATAATGGGTTACAAGAGGATGGTATAGAGTTGCCTACTCTTCGGGAGACTCCCGGGTTTTGGTAAGCATTTTTAATTTGGGACTCCTAAATAGAGGCCCATTCTTTCTGTATTTCCTGGACTTGATGATCGCGTTTTGAATTAAATATTGAATAAAACTTTTGAATTAAAACAATTTAAAAATAGGCGATAGCGTTTTGTTTTTATGAGAGTAAAACGTCGAATCTTTCGAAAGATTTTATTTCTGGAGTCGAAAACTTCCGGAATCAATTCCTTAGGAATTGGCAAGCTTGGGATAGGGATGTTTACAAAAACATTACGTAATGCTACGTCTCAACCCTTCTCTAACAGAATGATTCACTTTTTTTCTGAAGTGTTGAATAACGAACCATACTGTTTGTGTCACTGCTTTATACGTTTTATACGTAACTAATAACGTATAAAACGTAACTAATAACTAATAACGTAGGGGAGACAGGGGGAAATGGAAAACGTTAAAGTAATGCCGATCAGAGCGTTTTGATCGCGTGCTCAAATATAGTCTAGTAGTGATATCATTTAGTACTAGATTATAGTAATGCATGCATCGTGTTTTTGTATTATTTGAAATTAAACTATCGTAATAAGTCCACGTTTTGTGATTTTTAATACGTTCGTCATAAGAATGGTGCGTCTGTTTTGTAGAGTTAAGTAACATATTTTCATAATTTTATTTTTATTCTTTGGCATTATATGTAAAATAAATTATAACTTGTTTGCACTACTGTTAATATAGTGTTCGCCAAAATGAACTGTTTGCCCCGACTAGATCCATTCTGAATGCAGTGGATGGGATCGCTCAAATGGCAAGTCCTACATCTGTACATTTGTTGTACAATACGTAAAGATTAGTTTTGTGAGTTTTTCTATCAGTTCTTTGCACGCATTTTTATGACACATTAATTAATGCTTGTTTCAACTAGTATCAATAATTTTTTCTTATACTATAGTCATAACTGTTTTATTGTTTACCTACCTAATAACATTCTAAAATCTCAATAAAACCTACCATAATCTACCTATCTTAGGATAATGGCAAACACGGTTCGTGATTACCTCACATACAAAGATAATGCCAAATAACGAAATAACTACAAAAATATTTATTTTTGAATATAAAAAAATTTTCAGCAGATTACTTTTCGGGTCAGCTGTTAAGGATAAGTAACCTCAACTGAAAAATATTTAGCCGACTCGCATATTTACATTAGTTAGGACCATCCAAACCTTAAGTGACATTTTCCCAATCTCTTCCGTTCATTACTTCTGCGCTTTATTCTTTAGTACCATTAATTAATTAAGGGGTTGATAGAAGTATGTATTATGTAATTTTGGGATTCGTGTGTGCAATAACATTACGGTGCGTTACAAGGTTCTCCGTATAACGCTCTGTAACGTTGATGGTAATTGAAAAGTATAAAAATAGCGTTACGTAATGCATGGACGACCCCTTCAGAGATGGCAAAAATTTTTCCATTTGTCTTATATCTGTTCTATTGAGTAAAATCGTTTTTTAAAAAATTAGTTTTTGTTTTTTTTTCAACTTTGGCAAAAGAAAGTCATTGGGAAACAGATCAAAGGAATGGAATTGTTGCGGAGGAAAATAATTTTGTTATAAGAACTCAAAGACAAAGAAAATTTTTGCCATCCCCGAAAGAAGATGGTATTTCTAAATGTTTCCCGAAGTACAGAAATTACAGAAAGTAGGTGTATATTAAAATTCAGGGAGAATATTTTGAAAAAAATATTAAATAATAGATAAACCTAAAATAACCAAAACATCACACGATGTGTTGTTTTGATTATGTGTAAGAATAAAGATTTTAAAATCGGAAATAATTTTAAACTCAAAANATAATAATTTATAGTCTAATTTATATTTTGAAAGAAATATTATATACATTTTCTTTTTCATAATACGTTTTAACTTTTTGACCAAATGTTGGAACTTTTTGAACACACCTCATAGGTTTATTATTTTTTTTTTACAAATTTAGCATACATTATCTTGTTCCGCGCGAGGTACTTCATAAACAAGCAATTACTTTTTGATTAATCCGCTATTTTTATAATTTTTAAGATCCGAACAAAATAAAGAGACTATATTATCATAAAGAAGCGATATTTTATCGGTCGGCAAAATTTATCAACTGTAAATACATTCTCCAAATACCGTTATCTTCCTTAAACAAATATTTAAATACAAGTTAAAATGATAAGTTTATAGACAATATTTTAGTAACGAGTTTACACTATATAATATCTGATTCTGAAATATAGTACAACTAACGGATATTTGCGGATTTTTTCAATTGGCCGCTAAACATATGAACGAAATTCTGAACTGTTTTCATTATATAAACTCATCATAATGTAATAATCTTCACACTTCATATAAAGTTATTATGTTATATTTTGGAAAAATTTCTAAAACTGAGTTATGTATTTAAAAATATCAGATAAAAAGACAGATAAATGGCTTATAACTGATGAATCATTAGTGAAAGTGTAATTTGGATAATATTTTGCACTGTTTAGGAGATTTCACATTAATCAGCGAAATATAAGAGATAAATAAATTAACAATCAACGACGTAATGATATAGAAATTCAATGAATAAATCGATATAATTGATTTCAATTACACGATATAGAACGAATATGAATATTCAATAGTGAATAAAAGCGTGGTTTAATAAATTAAAAAAAAATAAGTTTAAAACATTTGAAAATATACGTGTAATGGTTTAGAATAGAAATCAATTGTTCAGTATATTTGAATGAAGTTAGAGAGAAGCTGTAACGCGCTCGACAGTAGAGACACACTTTGACCATCTGAACAAAGATGGCGGCAAATGCTGTGAACGGTACGTTAGAACAAAGCTGTAACTCGAGTCCAACCAAAGAAAACAAAACATCATCATCAACGAATACAGAAGAAATCGAACAGCAGACTTACGTAAATGGCACAGCAGTCACATCTACGGACACGACCGACCTGTCTGAAGAGACAAAGGTAAAATCTAAGTCCTTTCTTCTCTTTCCATTCAATGGCGTCGCTCATTTGACAAGCGAAGCCTTCTAAGTGTAAAAAGCGGCATCCTTTCGGGTTAAAGAAACAAGCTTAAATTACCCACAATCATAGGATTAAGTTATTTAATAGCACGCTATCTTCGAATAGAAATTTTTGCATTCTTGCTAGTAATATATGGATTGGGTTTATTAGGAAGAGCGAGAGCAAATTAATTTAAATGGGATTATTAGAGGATGTTTAATTATTCAACTTTGATTCTTATTGCATAAAGTAATTAAGTGTACATATTAAATGATTTTGTATAAGAAATTGATTAAATATTAATTTTTCTGATTAAATGAAATTATTCGATTTCTTTTTCTGTAAATGATTTGTTTTTGAGAAATTATATAATCAATTACAGAATATATTTACTCAATTCAACTGATTTTCTGATGGATTGTTAAAAGTCTTAAATTAAATTTTAGAGAAAATATATGTTGACAACAGAAAGTAAAAATTTTAATAATTAAACAAAGCATTTACAGTATATTCAGAACTAAGATTAGATTTTTATACAATGTCAATTTATGAAGGCTCTTTTATTTGCATTTACTATTGATTTTCTTCTTATGTAAAATAGACTGTTGGATATCTTGCAATATTTTATGTATACATATGAAATACATCTAACTAGAAGCTGACTGCTAACCTTTCAGGTTTATATTTGTAAGATTGAAAATTATTTTATTAAAAAATTTAGTAATAATATTAAATTTTCACAAACTTTTATATGTATAAATTTAAATAAAATCTTCATAATAAAATTTCTCAAGTTTCTTGGATGTCTTTAGATATATTGAATAATTGCCAATTAAATAATAAGCTATTAAATTCATAGATAAATGAAAAGTATATAAATGTTATGAATAATTTTAAGAAATAGCTAGAGATAGATCAACTAAGTATAAATTAGAATACTGCATATAATTTAATTATATGATATTTATGTTTAATGTATTAATATTTTTTTCTTAACTGTCAAACTTTTTGTATTAAATATTTGACTTCAGGGCCTTATTTTTTGAAGATAGATGAGTAGTCTGAAGGTATTTTTCAATTGAGAATAAATATCATTTTTTAAAAACAGTATTGATTTTGTAGTATTAAATGAATCTTTTGAAATATTGTACAAAAACAGGAAAATATAATGTAAATTTTCATTCATATAATTATGAATATTATACAAATTAAAATAAATATGTCAAAATAACCTTTAGATTCTTAATATTTGAAGATTCTGTTCAAATAAACTATCTCCAATCTGGATAAGACTTTGTGGTTGAGACAGTTTTTCTTTCTTCTCATGTGTATTATCATGCTGAGATGTAGTGTTTTCAAAAAGCCTTTCCAAAAATATTAAAAATATATATGGAGAGAAGCACTGTCAAGATAAATATTACATTTGATATAAAACAGTTTTAAATAAAATATGAAAAAATATTTTTTAAAAGGATACAGTATATTTATTAATATTTTGTTATATCATTTGAGTTTTGTTTATATATAATCTCTGTTTCTTTTTAAGTAATTAATAATAAAACTAACTTCTTAATTAAGATTTGTTAAAATAGTTTTTTAATTTTAATTTATAGAATCAAAGTTATTGATGATATTATTATTATTTAAAATTAACTTATAATCCAACTATATTGTGTTGAATATTATTATATAAGATAGTTGACAGTTTTCAATATATAGCATGCAGAGCTAATGCAGCGTGTAGACATATTGTCATAGCTGTCATAAGTTAGTTTAAAGAATTTATTTGGGTTGATGCAACTATGGATTAAAGCGGAATTCTTTATTGTTTTGATAATTTTTATTATAATATTTTAAATTTACTATTGATTTGTATAATAGTAAATATTGTATATAATAAATATAAAATAAAATATCTGTGTGTAGAATTTATATAAAACTTAATAAGTCCAAATAAATTGAATTATATATATTTTTGTGATTTTTAAATTTATATGTTTTTAATTATTACTTTAAGCATTGAGAAAAACTATTTTATATACAGTAATACCTCAATTTACGCTACCCCAACTTATGCAAACCCGGAGTTATGCGATTTTCAAATCTCGTCGATTCGTCTTTTGTTTGAACGCCACGCAACTCTTGATTACCATTTCCCCCACACTATTGTTCAGCTTACATGTTCGGACGTGTCGCGCGGAATCGACACATAGCTACAATTTATTTTGTGTTATTTATTTCTGTATTTGTTATATCTACGGAGACTTGAGAGACTCTATGTGGTGATTTCTTGTAACAGTGAACGAATCAAAAGATGAGATAAGATTAACGAGAACATTTATTAGCTTACATACATTCGACTTGGATTTTACACAAATTGAGAAATTATACCTCCGACTTACGCGGTTATCGCTCGGTTCCACCTATTGCGTAAGTTCGGGGTATTACTGTATTTCAAATATAATTCCAAACTTTTTTTGTAGAGATTAAAGAATTTTTAATAATGCCTTTAAGATCTCAACTTTGTATAGAGTTATTAATTTAAAAAAATTAAATTTTGAAATTCATTAGATAACTAATAAATATTTTTACAATATTTCTGTATATAGATTATATAAAATAAAGAATAAAATAAAATAATTAGCAATTTTTATATATAGAAAAAGTATTTCATTTTGATTACTTTATTCTAATTGTTTTTAATGAAAATCTTGATATATTTTGGCTAAAATATAATAATCTAGCACAGTAATCTTCATCTTATAGCCAGTATAGCCTAGTTAGTGAACCTGGCAAACTAGATTCACCAACTGGTCAGTAGAAATCACACAAAATTTTAAAATATTTTTATGATTCATAAATATTTATATTCAGTATGTACTTAAACTGATTAATTATTGATAGTAATTGTTGTTTTACTGTATTGCTTGTATGTATGTATGTATGTAATTTCTAGATTAAGCATAACAAAAAACAATAAACATATTGATAAATTTGTTCTCTACATACAAATAGCTATATAAGTTTTATGTTGTTGGCTGGAAAAATATAAAAGTTAGAGAAAATAAATAAAAGACCTATATGAAAAATTTTAATATTACATTTCAGAATTAAATTATTATTTTTATTGAAGATGTCTGCATAAAGTTAAATTGATATTTCGAGTTTTTAAAATATAATATGCCATTTTATTTTTTCCTCACTGCATTTCATTGGTATGGTCTGTGGAATTTTGTTGGAATCACATTAAACTCATATGAAAAAAGTGGAGAATTCTGATCTAACACATTGATAATGTAGAAGTTACTGATGACTTCTATAAAAGATTTCTCTTGAAATGATGATCAAGTCATTAGTGATTCCTATTGTAATATTTTTTTAATGGCTTTTTTTGAGATGTCTAATGAAATATTTCAGTATCATTATGAATTGAAATGAATTTGACATACTTATAAAGTGGAGAAACATCAGAATACAATCTAAATTATGGGTTTATTTCAAAACTTCTTTTGAATGAATGTAAAATTTTATTAAGAAATTATGAAATATTAGATGATTTTATTGTCCACTCTTCTTTGTTTTGCTAATACAGTTAATACTAATTATAGTAATAATAAATAAATAAATATAGAGCTGGTTAGTAGATATTAATCCACATGTTGTCTATGTAAAGATCTACTTATAGTGTGCAAATTTGCATTCTGAATTGTCAGATATGTAACACATTGGACTAATAATATTTAATGAGATGTTTTCAATTAACCCTTAACCTGACTCCTGGGGTTTGATGCTGACCATCTTAGGGTCTTTGATATAGATATATCAGAATGACTAGTATGTAGAAAATTACAATAAAAACAGTAACAAAACATAAAATAATCTAAAATTTGGAAAACTAAAATTATTCCTGAAAAATTCAAATACAGTAGTGTCTGCTTATAATGAACCTGTACAGACTGTCAGAACTGATTCATTATAACTGATATTGATTATATCGGATAAGAAATAAAACATAGTCTAATTTTGAAAAACTAAAGTTTTTAATGTCTCAAAGATAAAATATAACAAATTATTACATAGGAAGTTGCCCATTAAAACCTCAATATAAATGTGATGGTTACTTAAAAAACTCTGTTACTTTTGTTTGTTGATTTTTGCTAGTTGCATAACATTCTGTAATATATAGTTCCATTTCAGCAAAACTATTTAAAATATTTTGTGAAGTATTAGGTGTTCGTAAAAACTCTCAAATAACAATAGTATTTTGGAAAACTTTCAGAAATTGGCATTATTGGAACGTCAACCATCTGCATATGTTGTATTGTCATCTTCATCCTCACTAATTTTGTTATTTTTGAAAGACACTGAAACTATAATATTATTGGTCAAAGGTTTCCTACTAATAACACTGTCATCAACCCTACACATTCTTCAAAATCATAATCAGAAAATGCATCTGGTAACTGAAGAGGGAGCATATCTTGAACACCTTTTGTTTTATCATTTGTTAGTTTACTTTTCAAAAATTCATTGTTCGGAATGTCATCATCTAAATTGAACTCTTCTCCATTAATGTGTAGAAAGCCAGCGTGTCAAAAACAATTTACTATTGTTTGCATTGATACATTTTGCCATGCTGTATGGATGAAGTTTATTACATCAAGATTTATAGAAAACGATTCTTTGCTATTATCTATAGAAGTTACATTTTCAAAAGGAGAATTTCCCGATAGCTGCTCTTTAAGCTGTATATAACCTCTTGATCTAAAGGCTGTAGTTTTGAATTTGTATTGGGCAGCATGAACATCAGGTAGAATGCAACATAAATTCTTGATGTAGGAATGCAAGCAGTTGTCAATCAATAATAAAATTTTTCATTTCTTTCTTCTCAGTTCTTTGTCCCATTCTCGCAATTTGCATAGAAAATGTTAGTGGCCATCCAAGCACTTTGGTTAGATTTG